GGAGGGAGGATACTACTTTTGGCGAAAAATTTTGTGTGGATGTCACGCCTATCTCAAAATAGGTGCCTTGTAAAATAGACAGGTTCAGCGATTGAGAAGGGCAGGGGCCATTTTTAATTTAAGTTACATGCTTGAAAGAGTTAGAACTGTTACAATCGTTTAAGAGTTAACGAAATGTGGTTGGTCTCTAATAAATTTTTCCTGCTATTTTATTCTAGCTTCCTGCTTTGTTGTCTGTGGTGTGGCATTTTCTTGCCTTGAGCCTATCTTAGGGCCGCACTTAAAGCAGGTACAAACACGAGTTTTACTTCGATATTATGACAGGTATTTTTGAGATAAAATCTAATGCTTTAGTCTGTCACAGAACATGCTTTGTCAACTGGATGGTTTGATCAAAATCTGGCCAGTCTTCGAGAGGAAAACCTGGGCACCAGAATGACTTCACACAGACCTTGAGAAAGATTCGAAAATACTCCAGGATTTCGTTAGTTCTGTTTAACTTCCCTCTTTTGATCCGGTAAACCCGCGCCAACCATTTGGAGGCAGAACTAAAAGTGATCACTATTCGTTCCTTTTCGTTTTCCCTCGCTTCATGAAGGATCCTTCTTTGTACTTCGAGTTCCTCATTAGCCCCGTGTGACATTTTTCTTTCTTCTGATTGGCCGTTGTCACTGCTTTGGCTTCCGTTATGCGACATTCAATCGCAATTAACCTGTGACCAGGCCCTCATTATTATTTTAACACTGCAGGATGCGTGTTTCTCTCAACGCGGGAAGATTTGAGACGAGTCGAGAAGAGGTTTACCGGGAATCTGGCCCGAGACCTCTAGCAGACCTCTCACCGGCTTGCTTATCTCAAGAACTCAGACTTTCTCGCGAGCTAAGAAACGATAGTGTCACAGCGCTATAATGAGCGCTTGCAGGTTCATCGAAATCACAGCATATTTCTAGTTACTAGGATTCTTTGCCCAAAATTGAGTTCACTAAACTTTTAGAGTCGTCTATCTTCAAAGCTGAGTTCAACTGCCCATTTTGTAAAAGTCGCTTCTACTCCCTTCACAGATGGGTCAAAATCCATCACAGATTGGTCTTGCATTTCTTTGGTGGGCTGGAACTTACACCCTGTTAGCACCAATAGTCGGCTTCATAGGAGATAAAACGGTAAGAGTTTCCTTTGGTATCGCAACAATTTAATTTGCATCGGGGTCTGACATTATCACAATTACCAAGTCTGCGCTCCACAACATTTCATGCAAACGACGAGCGTTTGCCGACTGGGGTAACTGTCCTAAATCATGACATTAACTACGTCAAAATACACGCGACATCTGATGAAGTTCATCCATAATAAAATCAGTCAGATTTGATTTCTAGTGTTCTCGTCGCTACAATAGGTGTAATTGAAACTAAGACTTTTTTTGCGAGGTTTTCTTATCTATTATTGTGAATACTAGCGGAAGGGGCGGGGTTTCCAGTGCATTATGGGTGCTTAATGGCACCTTCAAACTCAACTGCACGAATTTCAACTAGGTAACCAACGGAGTCCATTCTGTCCCAATCAAAAAGTGTCTTTCTCAGAGGTAGGGGAATGGGGTGCTGCGGGATAACATGGATTGTAAAAATGTAATAGTGCTATGGGAAAGTGGCCAGTTTTGGCGACGTCTTGCTTTGGAGAGTTTCCTCAATATAACCTGCTTCGATTTTTGTAGGTTTTCCAGAGAGAACAGGTATTATTACCTGCGATTTACCGTTGATGTCAACTTGAAGCGTCACTACAGAGAAAAATTCATACACCACACAATCTGTGTTGTAAAGAATTCATGTTCACTCCTCTTTCGCGTGTGATTTGGTGTGACTCAAGAATGAATGCACGATTTGTATACGATTTCATTCTATTTAAAAAAATTTCTCCACAGAAATGTTATCGATCGTTAATGATAATGGGTTTCATTGGATTTTTCATTGGATCTCTGTTAGTGGGACCTGCTCCGTTTCTGTCGTTCTTACCAGCTAAGTATGTATGCTAATCATTTTGCGTACTCTTGTAAAACCTTTACGCCCAAGATCTAATAATAATAATGATCAATATTTAAACAGGCTGACTCGTTCAGTCACAGGACTGGTATCAACGAGGGCCCTGTATAACATAAAATAAAAGAGAGTAAAATAAATCATGTATTTACACATATCAATATAAACTAACTGCTATAAAAAGTATCTAATTGCTAATTCGCTATTCTGGCTGCTTTGAAAATTATTAACCAGATTTTTGTGTTAGATCAAGATAGAAACTTTGAGTATTCTCATTACCTGTTTGCTGGATAATAGAGAAGTTACATGTTAATAACTTCCGGGAGTTCTGAGCAATTTGTACATGTTCAAACAAGTCAGAGGTCTACGAGTCTGCGATCTCCCACAGATCTGTAGCTACGGTTATCGACTTTCACGCCCATCTCCAGGAGCAAACAAAACTGAGGTTCAGTTACCTGAAAAAAAAATGTTATGTCAATGATAAACAACTTATTGGATCCCGCTATTCTTGCAGGACAATTTGGCTGGTTACTGTTGCAATGTTCACTAATGGAATTTTGGGTGGTTTTGCTTTTGTACCCATCATCTCTGATCTTATTAGAACTTTAAGGTAAGTACCAATGTTTGCTTAACCATAACTACTGCTGCAAGAGGGACGAAAAAGTTGTTAACAGTTTAACAGCAATGCGGTCCGTGTCAGCTTTCATACTTGTATTCGCGACCTTAACAATAACCTCTAAGAGGTCTCAGAGTGACCAGCATCGCATTTTTTCTTTGAGTTTCACTTCTTAATCAAACATTAAGGTCGTGATGATCAAGGAAGAGGTCGCCAATTAAAGAAATCTCAGAATAGTTTGACAAAATCTTCGCCTCAGTACCATAAGACACGTCTATAGAACAGAAGAGAGAATGCATATACTGACGTTAGGGTATAAAAGTTAAGTGAAATTTCTGCGACAAATTTCCTAAGCAAATCTGTAGTTATGGATGGGAATAAGATTTTTTTTGCTCAGTAAATGACAACTACGAGAACCCTAACTACAAGAGACGATAATTTTCCCTTTCTGCTGTCACTCATGCGCCGGTACTTGTTCTCGTTTGGAATGACTAGGATTTGTATGGCATTTGAACTTTTACATTAGTGTAATCTAGTCCTTTCCCTTATCTCTTAGATTACGAGTAGTCCCTNATCGCACCAATAATTATTAAAGAGTACTCGAATTGAACTGGATTGTATACCCTTTTGCTTTTGGAAAATCAATCGACTGTGAGTTCCTTTCGCACATGCACCGCACAACGTTATGGAAGACTACGACGCTTCAATTAAAGTTATAGAGGGAAAAATTGACAAGAAAAGCTGTCTGAAGAGCTCGTTCCACTATTGTTTTCCGACGAATTTTCCTCCTTCACTTCTATCGCGGGAAACCCAATCCGGCGCGTAGTGAAGCGTTAAGCCTTGGTCAAACGGCGCATGATAGTCGATGATAGTTAACAACTATTCACCAAAGTGGAGGTGGTTAGTGGTGGATATTTACCGAGCCGCGAAGCGGCGAGGTAAATATCCACCGCTAACCACCGACACTGAGGTGAATAGTTGTTTTAGTATATACTAAAACAGTGAGATAATATACACCACCGTCGTTAATTTGAGTGATTTCTTCGCTTGTCACGGATGCAAACCGGGACGCCATTTTTTCCCGAGTTGCTCGGAGGTAAATAGCAAAGGATATTCGGAGTTTGACTAGCCAATCAGAGCGCGCCTTCGACGCTATCCACTGTTTTAGTATATACTAAAGTAGGATATTTTAAGATAAGACCATTAGCTGAACGGAGACTATAACGCGGCGGTTTTTTAATAGTGATCAAGTCACTCAAGTACCCAGGCGCATAACCATAGATAGCTTCAGTTGAAAGTAAGAAGAAGTATTTTAAAATCGATTCTAAATTTAACAGGAAACCAATGTAACGAACATAGTACAGGTGTTATGTGACTGTAGCGAGGTATAGTAGATGTAAGCCTAACAGCTGCATTCTGCAGCCGTTGCAGTTTACATAGGTGAACAGAGGGTAAACCAAATAGAAGACTGTTACAGTAAACAATACAACTTATGATGAAAGCATGGACTAAAGTGCTTGCAGAATCCTGAGAAAAATACTTTCGGATACGCGGAACATTGGATAAGTGGAAAAACCCAGATTGGCAAGTTTTGTGAATTTGTTCCTGAAGATTCAAATGAGAGTCAAACCATGCCCCCAGATTTCTTGCTACAGAGACAGGAACAACGTCAGTGTTCTCTACGACAAAGCTGTCAATATTGACTTTAGAGAGCTGTTGTTTAGTGCCAATCGGCAGCATGAACTCCGTTTCGTCATCGTTAAGTTTTAGCTTATCCGTAAGCATCCACGTACGAATGTCTGATGTACAACGTTCCATGGCATCGACTGCATCAGACTGATTAGTTTCGGAATAAGGATTAAAAGACAGGTAAAGTTACAAGTCGTCTGCATAAGCATGTGATACAGGTAGATGGTTTTTTATTACTTCAAAGAGTTTGCTAGCCTAGATGGTAAACAGCAGTGGCCCAAAGCATGATCCTTGTGGAACGCCATAAGGAAGCCTAAGACTATCAGATGTGCAACCATTTAGAAAGACTCGTTGCGACCTGTTGTTGAGATAAGACGTAAACCTACTCAAGGCGGCTCCACTAATACCGATACTTGACTTAAGACGAGCAAGCAGGATATTGTGGTCAACAGTGGCGGACGCTGCACTCAAATCTAGGAGAACTAGGAGGGCTACTTGCTTGCAGTTCATATTCATTCTGGACCTTCAATAACGCTGTCTCAGTACTGTGACCCTTTTGGTTAGCGGATTGTAGAGTTGGATAAAGAGCGTATCATATCCAAACTGACAGCGCGCTCTGTCAGTTTGGATCAGTGAAATGCAAGTTACTGACAGGGCTGACAGGCCACTTTTAAAATGGATAAATATTTTTAAATTCTCTTTTTTTTTATAGAGGAGTGATCGGGCCCAGTCTTGCTGGAACGTTAGATGATCATTTTGGATTTGAGCAGTCCACGACTGTAAGTGCTTTTTCATCAATCGAGACATATAATACGTATATGGGGATATTATAGAGAGTTTAGGGACAATTTAGTTTTATCGACTGAATAGGAAGAAAATTTTTTGTGAGGATCACATGGTTTTCAAGGGAAACAGATGGGGGACCAATCGCACGCCTCTCCTGATTGTGCTCGGCAACTTTTGAGCAACTTTTGGCGACTGGAGCAACCTTTTGAGGTTCTAACCCCGAGCAATTTTGCCTTTCTGTTCAATTTGTAAGCAAAAAATAGGTTAAGAGCAGATATCGAAGAAAAAAAGTCGATGATTTCTGACATAGAAAACTTTAAAAGATATATGGTTTTAGACTCTGAGATTGCAGTCGGTGAACTAGTTTCATTCAAGTTCCCTCATATCGTTCAGAAAGACGTCATATGATCCATGTTTTTTGTTCCGTTAGACTTTTAAGTACCGTTAACCTTACATTTCGCCCATGTATGCGAGCAGCTCTTTTAAAGCTAAGTTTCATTTTTTTTTTTTGACTGATGTTAGCATAATTGTGAAGAGCGAAAACTGAAGCGTTCAATCAATGTTTATATAAAACTATCAAGAACTTTAGGTAGCAACTTTCCTTGTACAAGCTTGACAGGCCTAACCAGTCGTCCCCAACAGAGTGTAAAAGAGAAATATAGAATATTGACTGGCAATTGACTACCATCAGGGGGTTAAGAGCATTTCAAAATCTTAAGGAAGGATCAAGTGAATTTTATCGCGACACTTGANTGGATCAAATGCGCTCGCTCCAACACCAAAGTATTAAAATGTGGCGTGATGTTGACGAGCCGAAAGGGACATTTGTTTACTTTTTTGTACTTCGTCGCACAGATCCTTGTTGTCGCTCTGTTAAAATTCTTAAATATTTCGCGATAATAATGGATACAAACAGAGACTCGGCCCACCAGTCCCAAAACGAAGACAATTTTGCGACCCTTAGGCTAGAGTTCTTAAATGAGGCAGAAAGAGAAAAACAACGGGAAAGAAGAATCGGCATCAGCGCCGTCACGATTCGCTTCACTGAAGAATAACTCTTGATATTGTTGTCCGTCTTTCGCGTCGGATTTGTTGCATTATTCCACCGGTTATGTTATAAAACAATTGTTTCATGCTTTATGCTATGCACTATCGAATTATGGAGCACTTTGGAAGCTTGGAGAACACTTCGAGGGATCTGAGTTTTCGGTGTCTGAGTTTTCGTGACACCCAGCGAGCTTGCCATGAATTCGAGTAGTTTCCTTTAAATAAAATAAAACACTCGCGATGCACGTGTGAGCATCACTCAGCCAGTCCAGCTTTGCATCCCAAGCAATGGGCTGACAAAATAGTCCCATCGTTATCGGAAATGACCCAAATGTTCACTAAAGGATCATTCATATGCTGTGAATGCCAAACTGGTGCTCTCAAGACATACTTGCCGGCGATTACTTTGCCTACAACTGAGGTTACAAATCCCGACACCATTTGATTAAACGCCTCCCTCCCCCTCCCTCCCCCACTCCACCCGTGCCAGGCAATGAATAATGACCATGCGCATAACAATGATTTATCCTCGTTCTCCTACTTTTTCAGATAATAGCTTTCATCATGCTTTTTCAAGTGAGTACACTGATAATTTCGCTTCCACTTTATTAATTATTTTACTTCATTTTCGCGTGTTTCGTTCTTTCATATTTTTACTTAAAGTGTCTATACGGCCAACAGGGTTTTTATTGTTTTGGTATCTCTTTAACCTGTTAAAAAGTATTCTCACAAAAAAAATTTGGTTCTGACGCCTCTTCACCCCAAAATCGAGCTTTCAAGTTCCCGCTTCGGCCACGCCCAATGAAGTTGACCACGTAAGGGAAGATTGGTGATGAGTGACGTCACTCCAGGAGCGTCTCGAGCGTCGTGTTGTTACTTTGCTTGACAAACGCAGTACTTTTAAAAACACATCTATCGGTCATATATATGTCGCCGAAAACTCTTTACCTTACTGAAAAAACGGTGAACCACTGGCAGGATTTGGCGCGTTCCTGACTTGACGTCACGACCCATTTTGAACCCAATCTCTTTTTTGCCCCGACTCACGGTTACCTTCAATGGTGTGGCTAAAGTGGGAAGTTTAAGGCTCGATTTCAGGGCGAAGACTCGTCAGAATCCAATTTTTATTTAAGAATACTTTTTTACATGTTAAATACATACCAAAACTATAAAAACCCTGTTGGCCGTATAGACACTTTAAAGGAGGAAGATTTTTCTTATAAAGAAATCTGGTTTTTTATTACTTTTAGGTTTTATAGTTTAATTTTTTAAGAGTACTTTCTGTCACTATCTTCAAGTGTGTTTGTTTTATAGGCCCTGCTGATTTTTTCATTCACGTTGCATGAAAAGATCTCTTTAAGGTTGGTAGATATTTTGATCTAGTTAGTAACAGTTGTTCTTGTTTTTTTTAGAACATCTTTTCCTGGGATAATCAGGGAGGAATGTAATTGAAGTCGACAAGTACTAATTAAAAAACACCATGTAATTTTTCCGCTACATTGACCTATTTTGGCAGGAATTGAATGCATGAAGACATAAACATATAAAATTCAGATAAGCCTTGTCTTACGCTATCGTACAATACCGTAAATCCCTTGGGAGTTTTTCAGTGACAATTTGCTATACCAGTTAACGAAATAAAAATAAATGGTAAGGCTAGCTAAAAAGATGACGGAATAGGTCAGATGCTTTCTTAAATTACGCTTAAAATTACCAAGAGATTGGCTAAGCTCTATTTCAGGTGGTAAATTATTCCATATATTAACGCCTCTTAAGAAAAGGATCATGATCAGTCTTTAAGTGAAATTAAATTAACGATTTGCACGACGACTCTTACGAACAGAACGCTGAAATACACAGACCTACTTCCTCATGATCAGGCCAAGCTTTTCAAAACCCTTATGGAATCATTTTGTGGTCAATTTCTTGAAAATTACCATATGTTGCCTAGGTAATTGGATACCAAAGAACTGAACACATGGAACCAGTTTTATCGACGCATCAGAACTGACCAATCACGACTGATTAAGGTCAGTTTCTGGAAACTGGTTAGTTAATTCCTTTAATGAGATATTTTTGGCCGGAGAACTTAAAAAGCTTGAGTCAATGGTACTGTTCTGTACTATTGAGTCTTCCAGCCAATAGCATCTCATTAAAGTAACTAGCCAATCAGTTTTCAGAAACTGACCTTAATCTTCCGACTGAAAAAAACTGTGTGGTTGACTCATGACTTTCGCTTGTATTGTTGGAATGGATTACCTTCAACTGAACGCTTAAACTGCACAATTATATCATTTTTTCTTCTGTTTTTGTTTTTTTTTATCTTAGGGGAAATTCTGACCCATCAGAAAGGGAACCTCTCACTATTAACAACAGGAAGGAGTAGGGCAATAATTGAATGAAATGTGATGATGATGACACCTTTATTCAAAAGAATAAATAACAATCTCAACACCAGGGTAGTCCCATCAGAACGTAAAGCTCTGCTATCAATAGGAGCCCTGATGAATAGGATCCTAAAATAAATATAATGCACAATACAGAAATAAAGATAAATAATAGTACTAATTAATACTACTAATTAATTAAATGTCGACAAAAAACTCATAAATGAACATTTCATTTCATAAATGATGAAATATTTTATTCGTAATTTAAGGTAATCGCATACATAATTAATCAAAAGCTATAAAGATACCCCAAGTGGCATTCAGAATGTAACTTACCATGCGCACATAATGATTCCTTTTTTCGATCTCTCAGAGAAAGACATTCTTCCTAACTTTTTACGGTTTGGGATGTTATATGTTGTACATCAGTTGCTCATACACTACACCTAATCTTTTGAATCGTGCGAAGGAAAAACAAGGAAAAGGTGCTCGTATTCCATGATTTTTAAAAGTGTAATTATCCATTGGGTAATTAACAAATCGACAGTGGTTTAGCGTGGTCTGTACTCTTATTGTCAACGATATTTGTCATCACAGTGGTCAAAATGCCTATGGACTCACGAGGCGCAGCAGTTGTTGAAAAGAGGACAGACCACGCTAAACTACTGTCGATGTTTTTTTACCACAATATCTACGTCAAAATGAAACGATTCTTTCAGTGCGTGACCAAGATCGTGACACGTTGACGCGAGCAGGGTTGTCTGTATTCTTATCGACAACGGCAAATTGGCCAATCAGATAGCGATTTATCCTTTGGATAGCGTTATCATCCACCGTTGGACAACTAACTTTAGACTTGTTCAGCGCTGAATGTTGAACTTCATGACTGTAAAGGTCATTTATTTAATGCTCAGTATATTGATGTCTAATTAGATCATTATCTGTCTTAATATGGTTACAAAATTCCGTGTCCGGCTCCAAAGTTATCACAAAACTAGCCACAAATTTATTCTCGTACCCAGGCCTTGCACGGGCAAGCGGTACATACTTATAGTTACACGGTTGGAGCTGGGTAAAAGGGTCAGGCGCAAATCAAAGTTTTCCTAACCCATCTCCAGTCGTCTCTGGCACTACCACAACGAAGGGGACGATGGGGGAAAATGTTCTCTTGTTTTACCCCCTTCCTATCGTCCCCCACGCGCACCTCTCGCCCTTCAAAGTAGAAAGACAGCTGGGGACGAGTGAGACAGACTCGCTTAGGAATTACAGGGTGACGGTCCATATTTTCGGCTTTCATAGAGTTTAGAGGCACGTTAAAGGAGTCTCCGATATGATGACGAGGACTTTCTTTGTCAGGTGTATCTCAGGAGGTAAAAAAAAGATAGTGATCCATGGCTTGGTACCAGTAAGCAACTACTGCCACTTTCGATAACAAGCGAATGATGGTGACGTCTACCATATAATGACAGAACCTTCTTAGTTAAGTGTTTGAGAGAGGGGTATCTTAAGAGGTGAAAACAGTGATCCCTGGCTTGGTACCATTTAACAGTTACTGCCACCTTCGATAACACGCGAACTCAAAGGCTAAGGGCTAAATTTGCTATTTCGTTTCACGCTGCAGTCAGTGTTTCTTGTGGCTGACCTTTAATGGAGACAATTAAAATGGATCGAAATCGATGCCTCACAGCTCAAGAACACGATTATGGCGACCTTGGAAAACATCGCGCAAAAAATGTAGGGTCCACTGTCATCTTTGGAAGAACCTTTCGTAGCCCTGGACAGTAAAAGCTACTGGCTACCTATTTCAGACAGAACACTAATTTCAAAAAAATTATTTTATTTCTCCGAAGACAATGCAGTCATTCTCTGACTTGAATTTAATTATTTAGTTAATTTCTCTCCCTTCAGCTATTAACATCATATAAGCGATCCCATAATCGTAGGCTATAATAGGCCTTAATGACCACTGAACCCTTTTCTGGGGCCCGTTCTGTACCACAATGCGTTCGAAGTGTTCTCCGTGATGGACAACACACTTGTTTACATATGAAGTGCCCCAGACGAAAGCACATCTACGAATCTGTAGCTCTAGATGTAAGAGCGCTCTTGATAAAGTTTAATAACACCAAAAACCAAATTAATAAACGGCCAATGAGAACGATGAAAAATTTCAGGAAAGCCAATGAGGAGGACTTAGGGTAAAAATCAAGCAAACTGCTTGACGAGCGGGGCGAACGCCAATGAATGAGCTGTGATTGGTTTTAGTTTGCATCTGACTGATTGACAGGTTGACGCGAGTTTTCTGAATCAACCAGAGAGCAAAGTAGAGCAGGTACATAAATAATAAGAATAATAATAATAAAAAAAAAAAACAGAACAAAACAAATAAAACAAATCCCGGATTACCTTTGATACTATGATCTCCGGATTACCTTTGATAACGTTACCGTAAATTACCGTTCACGTTTCGCGTTTCTCTACGGTAAAACAATCAGCGGGAAATACGTAATAAATTAAGCTACGCAGGAAAAAAGCTTACGTGTTATCTAAATAACAAGTTCCTACTTCAACTCAACAAAAAGGATCCCAACTTCGATATTTTAATTTTCAGGCTTTGGACAAAATACCTCGGTTCTAGGCTCTCGTGCATATTCTATAAATTAAAATTTGTTTGGTTTATTCTTAGAAGCCTTTTGAGTAACTCTACTGCCTCAAAATAAACAATTTCAATATAAGGGTCCTCACTCAAAACAATTTCCTTTTTTAGTTGATTGGCACACGAAAAGTTAATTGAAAACGCTTCAAATGCAAAAACATAAGATCGTAGCCTCTGTAAGGTCCAGTAACGGAAAAAGAAGAACATTCTACACCACTCTTACAGGTCTCTGACGAATTTATGTTTTCGAAATGAAATCCTAAAGTGAGGCATTATAAATACTTGGAAATTTTCTCAACCACTCGAATGCTAAGAATCAGCCCTTACAGCCCCTTTCAGAATACTTGACGTTGACCCGGTAACCAACTCGAGACAATTTCTGCCTCCCAACCCTGCTGGCATAATTATTTTCTACTGACTAATGTAAATAGGGATTAATTTAAAAGTTTTAATTGTTCTCCAATTCAGAGGCGTTTTATTTTGTCAGGTTTCTTAGACGCACTTTACCAACCATTTCTCTTCCTCGCATTCTAGGAGGTGTCACGCAAAAATCAAGCAAATTCTTCTGTGGATTTTTGGAAATTTAAATATCATCCTACTTAAGTACTAGTGTCTGTCCATGCGTTTTGATCAACATGACATATAATACCATCACCTGGACGCTGTGCAGTAACAGGCAATTGACCGACAACTTCTTTTAAAAAATAGTAATTTCTTTCATTCGAACTACATAACCCGTACTCAACAAACAAATTCTGTCCACCAATCTAACCTGTCTGAAAGAATTTCATTACAGACCAATTACATATTTATACCGTTTTCTGTAAATCTACCATCTTTTCTATCATACTTACTAATTACACTTAGCTAAGCAGTTCTAAATAAGTTAGCGGTACTTTTCCTTTTTGACTTCCCCTCTCGCCAATCATCCAATCGGAGTCCAGTCCAGGTGCACTGTAAACCGTGATCACCTGGGAACCACAAACATTAAAACACTTGGTCAGCCTCGTATTTGAGATCTTCCTTAACCCCACCTCTTGGTCAAGGACAGGAAATAAAACGGAGGGAAGAGGCCTTACTGGTTCAACAACATTAATTTTTGTCTTGAATTAATTTACACTCCCTTATTGCGACAAATGTCGTACCATAGTTAGTAGAGGGGACCCAGTCCCCTCTACTAACTATGGTCGTACAAATCATTTCAAAACCAGGACATGAGAAACATTCTCTTCCCTTAATTCTTCGGAAAGAAAACAAAGTACAAAAAGTAACCAGTAACATATAAGGGCAAACGTTGCTGATCAGTTTTCATATCTAGGTTAATTTCCCATTGTTCTTTTCCACATCTGGTGGTGAATTAAGGAAAAGTAAGGGACTGGAAACCATTTCTTTCCTTCCTTGGTGAAAATACAGAGATAACGAGAAAAGTGGAGTGGACTTCTGGCTACCTTATGTGGCTGTTGGAATTTCTGAGGACTGAAAAGGCAACCGAAATGCCATTAACAGAACAAGAGGGTAGAAGGAAGAGATGATAAGGAAATTGTTTGAATACATTGGTATGATTCCTAGGTTGAATGAGTCAGTTTTTTTAGGTTGTTTCATTCTCCTCAACTGAATGGATGTGTATGAGTGATAGATTGAGAAATGAGTGAGATAATTGTTTGCTTCTGTTTCCTGAGGTCCAAATGCTGTGAAAAGTGTATGGCAAGTATGGCAATCCAAATAAGGAGATAATGAATGATATATTATGAACTGAAAGATAAGCAACATCTGTAAATCTGCCCCACCAAGAGTCTTTGGTAACATCCACTGGCATAAAGGGGGCTTTAAGGATAACAGTAGCATCTGAACTGTTTACTCTTTTACACCACAAATGACCAAAAGGAATCTCTGCTTACAGAAACTTACACAGTTTCAAACAGAAAGGCAATGAGAAGGAAGAAAAATATAAAATGGAGGATACTCTTTAATCTCAGATCAAATTTTCTGAGAAAAAGTTTAAAGATGGGTGTAGCATTGTAAAAAAAAATATCATTTAGAAATTGGGAGTGAACCTGTTATGCTAAAGCCTTATCACTGACCTCGTCAGCAAGCAATGAGAGCTCATTCTTGTCTGCTGCGTCGTAATCATACAACACTTTGGCCTTTTGGGTCAGAGATGGCCGAGGAACAGTGTTCAGATCCAAACCACCAGAGGTGTCAGAAAGGGAAGGTGTAGAAGGAGAAACAAAAGATAAAGCTGCTTCACCTGGAGGACTGAAAGAAATTTTCATATCACACTGCGCACTTTCTGGTAAGAAATCAATTCCTTGTACCACTTTTTCTTTTTCGTCATTTCTTTTTCTTCCACAAAGGGTAAAAGATTTTCCAGTGACATCAATCAATTCTCTCTCTTTTTTTAATACATTGACAATTATGTTAAATCAGAATTTGGTTGGTTTTTGACAAAACACCAGGGATGGGTTACACTTAAGAACATTTTTTTTTAACCACTGAAAACAATTATAGAAAGTTTGCAAACAAGAAAGAGCAAAAACAACATAGGTAATTGAGTACTCATGAAACACCATAACAACTGACCAAATGTGACACAAGAACCCTTGGAATAACATCAGCACCAACAAAACAGAAGTGCTCCACCCAGTGAAAGCTCCACTGTCAAGCATCTTGAAATTCTTCATCTTTAAGCCAAATATGATGCAAACTATTTTCAGCTAAAGTATTTGTAAACACAAGTGACCACATCTTGTGGAAATAATTCGTTTTATTGCCTTATCTATGTAAAACAATTTAAAAATAGAACATATCGTACCTTGCCAGTTGCTTCTGTAGCTCTGTCATGTATGCATGGCACTGTGCATAATACTGTGCTTGGGCCTCGACAAAATTCATCAGTGCTCTGTGATGGTTGGCCTAAAATCAATGAAGAATTTTACATCAAAATCTGCTACTATCTGCCATTTTGTGTGGCAGTTTTTAATAAATGTTTAAGAACCCTAAGCTCTGTTCTTTTGCTACCCTGCCAATGATGATTTTGTTGTAATTCCATAATTGAACAGTGAATAATTAAGCACAGAGGGAGTTGCTCATTTAAAAGCTTCTTAGTTTCTCAGGTGATTCCTCCCCATCTTTATTTCACCAGTAAACGAAGTAATTGAGTCCTTAGCTGACGAAAAACTTTAAAATTTAAATTCTGTTATAATGCATAGTAGAGAAAAGAATAATGTGAAAACTGAACACAAGTGAGTCTGAGGGAGTGGGTCTGAGATGCAGGAAAAGTTCACCTGCCCCCCCTTCCCTTGCACTCAATGGAGAATATAGGGGGAAACATGCTATTTGACAAAGTTCACCTGTCCCCCCTTCCCTTGCACTCAATGGAGAATATAGGGGTGGAACACACTATTTGACAAAGTTCACCTGTCCCCCCTTCCCTTG